TTTGCTAAAGAGACTGGATGTTTTGTAAACTAAATACCATACTTCAACATACATGGGCCGCATCATAATGAGACCTGAGCCCTGGGTAGGGTGTGGGGTGGGAGGAAGGGTAGAGATGTACTTTAAAAAAGATTTCTCCCTAAACGTAGCTGTCAACCCACTACATACAGAGCCTTGGATGTCACTCTCTGGCATTCACACCCATACAGGACCTGCCCCAAATGCGGAGCTGCCCCCCTGCGCCAGGTGCTCTGGAAAAGAGAACAGCCACCGCCTTGTGGAGCTCACAAAACATGAGCTAAGCCAGCAAGCACCGCGGCAACGTTGTGGCACCTTTTTCTTTTATTTGAAAAGCTCTTTAAGTTGGAGAAATGGCATCATGTTAAGCTATGAGTTGAACTGTTCTGCCAAGCATGTCTGGTGTGTACATGGGGCCTCAACCCTTCTGTGTGGCCTTGTCCGAGTAGAAAAGAGGAGGGTTTTCAGGGCGTGTAGAGGCCCAGCATTTCCCAGAGAGAAGTGTGGCCGAGCCGTGGTGTGTTTGTGATAATAAAAACAAAGAAAGACACGCCCGTGTGGATCAGAACTGTGTTTGGGAGGATGTGTGTCTGTCCCTTGTACAGATGCTTGCAGCCCTGTTGACCCTGCATCCCTCAATGGCAGGCAGGGTCAGCTGAAGAAGACAGGAGGCAGATGCTGGTCCTCACACACCCAGACACAGTTCAGGAGGGCTTGCATCTAAGCCTTTGTTGAATTTGTTTGCATTGCCATGTCCACCGGCCCTACAGGGTCTAGTGTCCAATACTCCCTTTGCCCAGTACATTGCTTCTTGTCCTTGGCTAGAAAGAGCTTCCTTCCAGCACTATGATCCTCCCCCACCATAGGGGCATACTTTTGATTCCTCGGCACTGCCCTGTGCAGTCGTCTCTGGCGCCTCCCATCATACAGATGAGGAGGCTGAAGCTCAAAAGGGAGACGCGGGTAACAAAGAACGGGCTAAGCTGGAAGGAGAACCCAGATCTCCTGACTCCCCAGAGCCATCATGTAACAAGCAAGCAAGCCCATGTTTTCCAGCTCATCCTCTCTGGGGTGTCTAGTTCACATCCTTTACCGGCTCCTTCCATCTATCATGCACTCACTCTCAGCGGAAGTTGCATGGCTATGGCCTGTGACTCATCACCTGTGGGACTTGAGTCAGTTCCTTGACTTCTCAGTGCTTCTGGGTTCTCCTCCGCAGTGGGGAAGTGACAGTGGTACCTACCTCATGAGTGTCGTAACGATGCAATTAGGTAATCCATATAAAATGCTTGATGAAGCATTCATTATCCTCACTGTTCATCAAGCTGTCGGGTGGGGGGAGGGAAGGGGGCTACTGCTGCTCAGGATGAGCGCAGTAGAGAGCTTTTGTGAGTCTTCCCCAAAGGTGTCTCACCTTTTGGGAGAATGGAGAACTCTTTTCACCCCCACGCCCCCAACACCCAACTCTGACAAGACGGACTCACTTGAGCAATCTGTTCATTTCACTCAGAGGACCCAAACACCCCACAGTTATGGCTGTAGTACTATTGCTCATCAGTGCCCACATGCTGGAAACAAGACCGGCAGATTTCCTCCTTTAAATGGCTTCTAGTCTGGGGAGAGAATAGACATCATGAGCCAAAATAACCCCATTCATCTATTTGTTCCACAAATAGAAGAGCTATGTATGAGCATATCCAAGGTAGGCCCTGGGGAACAGACAGGTCTCTTTCTCACCGAGCTTTTATATGGATGGGGAGGAGAATCGGGAATCGGCTAATTCCGCTAGGGACTGAAGAGAACTCAGAAGATAACCCATGGGTCTGTGATGGAAGGTAAGGAAAGGGACCAAGGAATTGATCCTGAGAGCTCCTGGAAGGGGGAGAAACTGCGAGGTGCTGATGTGGC